ATACACCTTATTGAAGGGAATGGATTTTCTACTTCAAATTTCTGCAACGCTAGTAAAAAAAAATCTATGAGTTTCAAAAATCAGATTTCGTTGCTTTCTGTTTTTCAGGATTCTCCAAGTAACAAGTTACTCTATGCAAAAGAGATCTCTACATATAAGAAAATGGTGGAAGAGTAAGTAGAAAGAACTACAACTTATTTTATATTCTTGGGGACAAAATGTTTGGTTCTCACATCATATCTCTGCTTAGGGCAAGTTGGTTCTAAATATATCCTGAGTAAATATTATCGAGATAAAAATAATTTTACTAGAATATTTATCATGATAAAAGTGACCTGGAAATTAGACAAAAGAATGATAAACTCAAATAATATAACAGTAACATTCATTTTCAAAATAGATAGAAATTTAGCAATGCCAAATGAAATTGTTTTAATGTGTAGAATGATTTTGCAACATTTGAATATATTAATTGCTTTAAAAAAATCATGATTTTTGCCTTTGTATTTTATTCCAGTATTTCACTTTGATGGTTTTCCCTTTTTGATTCAGGCATGTGTGTATGTTTGTGCATAGTATGGATTTAGGAAATAAGATACTTACTTTAATTCCCGATCCAAGAAACACTTTCAAAAATGAAAAAAGTATGACAACGTATCTGTCAGGAAGCAAATGTTTATAATATCATAAAGATTTAGCAAACTTCCTGTGGCCTGAATTTTTAGAAGGTATCATCTACTCTGAAATAAAGTTTTTCTAGGTGGGCTAGAAAAGACGGTCTGCCTTTACTCTAAAGAAATCACCAACTGGAAGATCAACAAAAGCAACAGAAAACATTTGGGGCTGAATCTGAGAAGTTTGGGCTTATGGATTGTTCTACTGTACCTTTTGATCTTTTGCTCCTCAAAATGTGCTGGGGTATAGCAGATACTCAAATGAACCACATCCTTATTACAGTTTCTCCACTAATGAATCTATTTGGGAACCGCAAGAAAGTATCATGCTAGACAGCTGATTAGGGAAGTCATGTTGGACCATACTAGTAGTCTTCAATTTATGACCATTTGTCCATTGACCATTCACAGTTATGACAGTGCTTGTGCCCAAAGTTACCTTATGCAAGGCAGCATTTGGCCACACCAGGACTTCTTCCTGAGGCCATGCACACTGTTCTCCAAATTCCTTCTCTAAATCACACTCCCCATTCCTTCCCCAAATCATGTGCCTCATTCTCATGCTCTAGAAACTTTCTGGTCTTCTCCAAGATTCACAAGAACAGGAACATTATTTGGAAATCATCAGGAACCCCATTGTCATGGTGCTTTGCAAGACTTCATTCTCCAGATTGCATGTACCATTCATTCTCAAATTATGCATCTTGTTTTTGACATTCGTCAGAAAACTTCTGGTCTTCCCCAGTTCTCGCAAGAACAGCAATTTGGAGAATGAGGACTTCCCAAGCACTGTGAGAATAGAACTCCTACCATTCTCCAACTAGCACACCTGTTCTTTGAGAACTGGGGAAGACCAGAAGGTCTCTAAAGGATCACTAGAATGGGATGTGCGATTTGGAGAAGGAACGGCACAAGTGATTTGGAGAATGACAGAAAAAGCTTCGGGAAGAAAACTAGGCAGAGCCAGAATACAGTAGGATCAGGCTGGGTGCACATTAGCAGCAGTAGGAAAACAGTGAAGGTCAGCTGGGCACAGTAGTGCCTGTGTAACATAGGGTGATGGGGCAATTGGGGCTTTCCCCCATCTCCTCATGGCACTCCCACACTTCTTACCTGAGACCCATTCTGCTTAACAATCTGTGATTTTAGATTAACGATGACAACCAGGAATGCCGGGATTGTGATTGCTAGGTAATATGGTCATGTGACATCTCACTTTATAACCACATTACTTAGTGATGGAAATTCTGGTCTAAATTGTAGTATAAGTCAAGCCTATGAGCCTTTAGTGGGTTTATGAGCAACCATCCACTGAAATGCTTATGTTCAAAACAAGGTATAAGGAGGAATGAATGTAATAGCAGCTCTATTGACTTGAAAGCTCTATAGGAAGTCATTTACCTCTATGTCTTGTCCTCCAAGCACCCTATTGGGCTAGCCCCGGTTAGCTTCTAAGTATCAAGTGTTCTCCTCCAGCTGTTAGAATAGGAGAAAGGCTGGCAGAGATTTTGGCCATAATACTACCAGATAAATAGCTTATTAGCCATAAGCAGACCCTTAACAACCCATGGGTATCCTAAGGTTTCTCTGTCAAAATTCAACAGAAAAAAGTCGAACAGTTTTGACAGTCTGTTTTTTCATGAATTTTGTCTAAAGTTGAAAATAGTGATGAAAATGAATGTCTTCCATTATACTTAAATTCCCAACCAAAAAATGCCCCAAATGTGATTTTCTAGACTTAAGACCAGAGGTCTTCAAACTTAGCCCTTTTATGACTTGTGGACTTCAACTCCCAGAATTCCTCAGCCAGGCATGCTGGCTGAGGAATTCTGGGAGTTGAAGTCCGCAGGTCATAAAAGGACCAAGTTTGAAGACCCCTGGTTAAGACAGTTAAGAATAAGCATGGAGACATTATTCCCCTAAAATAGACCAAAAGTTGTTTCCATCTCTTCTCATGACAATATTGGATAGCTTCTTGTAGCCTGTCCCTGTAATATTGCTAATCCCTGGCCTATGGTAATGTTTTTATTCTGCATCATAGGAAACTATTGCTATTTTGATTTATTTTAGCTGTCAATAATTGCACTAAATCTCTGAAACCCTGCAAAATCCAGCATGGAGAAAACTTCAGTTCCTGACATTAATCTATAAGGAGGAGATCAGATCTTTTTTTCATAAATATATCCACGATGAAAATCAGCAACCATCCTTTAAAAGTTCTAGTTCAATCTAGTAATGTCTATTAAGAAAATGTCATAAATTCAGTACAAAGAAAGTATTTTTAAAGGTTGTTATTTCAGCTAAAACATTTTTTTCTAGTTATTATAGAGGTATTCGCCAGATGGTACAAGTGAGTGATCAGGATATGAATACACATTTAGCAGAGATTTCTCGAGTAAGTATAAAATTGGAAACAACTTTTAAATGTACTGTACCTGATAAAAATAAAGCTGCTGAGTTATTTGTTTGTCTTGGGTTATTTGTACCATATGTCCTATTTTGTATCAGTCCTCTGGAATACTTTCCACTGTTTCCTCCAAGGTTTTGGCATTCCTAATAGTTTAGTTCAATGGTTGACCATGCTTGAGGTCAATGGAGGAAAATCTTTAGTAGTTTCAAACCAGTTTTATTTTCACAGTTCCCTGAGTCAGGTTAACCAGATCGGACTGACTAATTGATTGGTCCATTTCTCTTTTTTATACCTTTCAATCCAACGAAGCTCAAGTAAGCTTAAATAAGACATAAACAATAAACAATAGGAAAACAAAGCAGCAGTATTCTGACCAACAACCACAACATCCAATCCATAACACCTAGTTTATCAGTAGTGTATTCCCAAGGCTCTCAGGAAAGGTTTTTATGATAGGACCCAACCAAAACTTTCTTGCAGTGTCTGTTTTTGATCTGGCCTATCCCAAAGCATCTTAAATTGCTCCCAGAATCAAACTCATCAATACACATCTCTTTCTGGTAAGATGTTATCTGTGAAAATCTTTCAGTTCCTATCATTACATAAGCCATTGCATTCTGGACCAGAAGAAGCTTCTGAGTGGTCTTCAAGGGCAGCCCATGTAGAGTGCATTAAATTAGTCAGCATGTGTCACTGTGAGTAAGGCAGCCTAAAAAAGGCTATAACTGGCTTGACCAGATGAAATTGGGCAGTGCCTTTCCTAGCTACCTTTTCTTCAGGTAGCAGGTGCATCTAAAATGACTCCTAAGTTACAAATTAATTCTACACAGGACAGAACCAGAGAGATCCAAAATTGGATTATCTCTAGTAATGGAAGGCTTCTGAATCCATAACTAATCTGTTGTGCTTCGTATAGATGTTAAGTATGAGAGTATTGCTTCCCACAGGAAATAGTACCTCAAAGTCAGTCCAGTAAGATATCTGACTGATGCTATCAAAAGCCCCTAAGAGGACAAGCAAGACCAGGGGAGCTGCGTCTGTCTGTCTGTCTATCTATCTTATTTAGAAACAATCTACCTCCCTCATAGAGAGATAATTTTCATTGCCCTGATATGTTCATAGTTTGTGCACAAGAGCAATCAATGTAAGGTTAATACCAGCTACAGACTTGAAACCCGCTGTAAGAGATCCAAATAATACATTTCCTCCTCTTTGCAGTTATAGAACTACTATCTTCTCCACAACTTTCTTTAAAATGGGGAGACTGGAGTTAGAATAGTAATTATCCAACATCCAAAATGGATGTCATTTTTACTGCTTGCTTCCTTCTCCATGATATATATAGTGGTAACAAATGGAAAGATTACAGGTGAAGCAGCTGGCAAATACACCTGTAATGTTGGTTTCTGCTTGGGGTATTATTTATTCTAATTTCTAATGTGGGGGAAAATGGTGTAGTGACTGTAACAAATCAGCAAGCAAGCTTGATGTTATATTTCTGATAAAAAATCATCTCTGCTTCCTTATCAACCTGGACACCTATTAATATTGTGGATAGAAAGAGAAACAATATTACCTCTGGTGCATCTATATAGGTTTCATTAAAGTTCTTGGGTAGCCAGCTTTGTGTTTGACATAGTGTTTTTCTTCTTGTTTAATTTAATAGGCCCACACAGACTCATTAAACACCCTTGTGGCTTTACACCAGCTCTACCAATATACTAACAAGTACTATGATGAGGTAAGCTTCCACCACCGAGTTTGTTTTATTATTATTCTGTGCAAAGTCATAAGGTGGGTAAGATCTAACAAGCTGATTTGCCTCCAAGCTGATAATTTCCTGGCTTATTGGATGCTTGGTTTTGACCAAGAGACTGTAATTCATACAGGGCAAATATACATGTTTAAAGCATATTCAGAAGAATCCCATCACTAAATATAGATGTGTTCCATATGGGATTTTATATAGCAATAGTAATAGCATTTAGACTTATATACCACTCCACAGTGCTTTTACAGCCCTCTCTAAGTGATTTACAGAGTTAGCATATTGTCCCCAACAATCTGGGTCCTCATTTTACTGATCTTGGAAGGATGGGTTAACCTTGAGCCCCATGAAACTTGAACTGCCAAACTGCTGTCAGCCGGCAGTCAGCAGAAGTAGCCTGCAGTACCGCATTCTAACCACTGCGTCACTAGGGCTCTCAAATGGGTCTAGGACAGAGGTCCTCAACCTTTGGGGCACCAGGGATCAGTTACATGGAGAGAGGTTTTTTTGCAGACTGGAGGGGGCGTGGTTTTGTGTCCAACTGCAGGGGGCGGGGGTGCGCAGGAGAATGGCAGGGCCGGCACAGCTTCTCCAATTGCGGTGGGTGTGCAGGTGAATGGCAGGGCCGGCACAGCTTCAGCAATTAGGGGGGGGGGCAATGCGAATGGCAGGGCTAGCATAGCTTCAGTGATTGTGGGGGAGTGCAGGCAAATGGCACTCCAGCCTGACACACAACAGGGAGTTGGCCTGCTGCTCCATGCCACTCCCCCTCCACCTCCACAATGGCCAGCATCGTCTGCCTGTACTCCCGCTCCTCCTGCAATCGCTGAAGTTGTCCGGCCCTGCCATTCGCCTGCGCACCCACCGCAATCGTAAAAGCTGCACCAGCACCATTCACCTGCTACCCCATAACACAGCCCATCGCATGCTGTTTCCCCTGCAGCACCATGGCTTCTGCCTGCCACCCACCCGACTGGCTGGCGGCTATCTGTCCCTTGTAGCCAAAGGCCTGGGACAAACGGTGCCTCGGCGAAAGGGCCAGGCCAAAGGGCACAGGGCGGAGGGCAAGGGGCCCATTGGCCAGGGAGAATGGGCAGGGGAGGGCCAGCCTAGGAGAAACGCTGGAGGTAAATGGACAGAGGCAGGAGGCGAGATGTAAAGGAGGCGTGGCCAAGGTTGGGAGCCTAAAGGTCCCATTTCATCTCAAATGTGGCATATTTCCTAGCTATATTAAACAAGAACAGTGATGACTTGCTTATTAACAAAATGTCCAGGAAGCCTCATATGTCACAAACCTGGCTTACCATCCTTGAAGTAGATAGAGAATACATTTTGCCATCGATTTGATAGTAGTTTCTTCTCGTACATTTTGAAAATCTCACTGTCTCTTGTCTGCTCACAATGAGGAAAATGGCTCTGCAGATTCATAATACCAGGAAAGGTTCTTTCTGATTAATAGATAGTACTCTTTAAAACCCTTGGAATGTATTTTTCCAGAAATACTTATAGGATCATATTGTAATATCTTGACTTGAATGTTCTCCCTTTTATTTATTTTTTAGATTATAAATGCACTAGAAGAAGACCCAGCTGCACAAAAAATGCAGCTTGCTATTCGATTACAGCAAATAGCAGCTGCTTTAGAGCATAAAGTGACTGACCTTTGATTTGAAAGCTGCAATAAAAAAGTCTGATCTGAAGATGTGTAAATTCATTCTCCCTAATAAGAAAATAGTGTTCTATTTTTTAATGTGTAATTACAATTTTAAATGAAAAAACAAAAGGCTCCTTTTTTATATAGAACCACTGTAATGTAAAGAGTTTTTACTGTAAATTATGCTTCTAATTAAAATCTTGTGTGGTGTATAAATGAATTTCCAGAGGGACATGGGGGAGGTCCATAGGGGGAGGGATGGGTGGGGGGGAGTTATACTCATTTAATCAAATAGTACAATTTTTGAAACATCTGCGTTTTTTAGAAGTCATTATGCTAGTAAAATCACTACCTATAATTTCTTTATATTTTAAGCAATATTTGTACTAGAAAAAAAATAATAGCATATTGGAAAAATAAATGCAATATCCCCTTTTAATTTCAATAACTGGAAATAGCTTTTTCCCTCTTTTTTTGAAAAAACAGTCATCAATCTTCTGCTTTTGAGGAGGATATAAACAATTTACTTACGATGACTTTCCTTTTAGAAAATTGCAGTGGATTTGGGTACCATATTTCTTTTACATTCATGTGAATGTTAAATGCTAAAACACGTGGTTGTAACTACTGCCCCACTTTTCACAGTCTATGGAGATGAAGCTATAGATCTATTGTGATGGTTTGGTTTTTTATCTTGGAAGGTGTCTACAAGTCTCTAAGAACATAACTTTCAATCTTATGTGCCAGCTTTAGCATACAACACAAATACTCAAACTCTGGAACACATTTATATTCCTCAGTAGGAAACAGGATGAGATCCCAAGGTACTTCTACAGAGCCAAACTTGATCCTGTGTATCATTGGCACAAAAGGGAACCAGAAAGACAGAAATCTTTTTCTCTGACTTTTAGGAAAGTGATTGTTACGCATGTGAACCTACTGTTACATTTGGAATCTGCAATACGCACCATGGGCACTTACCCTTAGGGCATAGTTTTAGCTGTGTCAAGGATAATGCAACGTACAAGGTTGCTTTTTTGGCTTAGCAAGTATCCAAGATTCAGAAATACCTGGTTCTGGATCTCAATTAGGCTCTTCTTATTCTCAGACCATTTCTTAAAATCTCTGATAAAAAGTACAGACAACAAATTCTGTTTGTTCAAATGTTTCTGAAATCAAACTGGTTTTTCTTTTTCTTTTTTTTATTGTTAATTATTATATATGCTACTGTGCCTTACTTGTACTAATTATGTGGATCTGAATGGTTTTGTAAAGAGAATCATATCAAAAATATTTATGTGTGGTTTGATGATTTTTGTGAGAAACTTTGACCAGCAGAATGCCTGTAATTAGCTTTTTGCCAATAATGTGCAGTTTGACCTGATTCAAATATGTGTATCTTTCGTTGGAATGGTTCATAGGATTTTTAAAATGAATTTTCACATTATCCTGGAAGATTGCTATTAAATTGTTTTAAAACACGAATAGAAACAAAGAACACCCTGTGTCTGAAATATAAAATACTAATTGTAAAGAAATTCCATGCCTTATCGAGGATAAACACTATCTGAGCCTTGGAAAACTTCAATGAATGGAATCATTACCTTTGCAGTGGAATTAAAGTACCTTATTGAATACTGTGTGTGTACAATATTAGCTTATAGGCAAGTTTATAAAACTTGATATGTAATCTTAAAATGCTGTGTTACACTTATATACATACATAAGCAATGTCAGTTACATTTCTTTTTCACAATAAGATCAATTATTTTGGTCAATTCAATAGCATTTTCCAGGTAGCACTGTCCTTTGGTACCTTAAACTTGCTTCGCTCTTAACATGATAATAATTTTATTTGCTACCTCTCTCTGTATCGGAGTTGAATTCTGCTTTTCTCTTGATGTCAGTTTTAAAATGTATTTTATTAATCTTTTGATTTCTGTAGTGAATTACAGGCAGTATTGGCTGATGACAATGTTCATTGCCTACTGTAGGGGAATTGCAGAAGCAAAAGAGGGAAACAGCATACAACTTTTCTTGGTTTTGTTTGTTTGTTTTATTTGTTTGTTTTATTTTCTTACACTGTATGCACACCTTAGCATATGGAATTATGAATTGTTTGGATGAGTATACCTATGAATTCTGGGTCAAGCTAAGCTTCTTTTACTCGCCTTCTGACTGATCAACAAACCTGCCTACCTGCTTTGTTTTGTCATTGTTTGTAAATCCTGTTAATTGTAAATCAAATACAAGGGGTTTTTGTTTTCCACGGTGTTTTCCTTGAATTTTTAAAGTTTCTTTTTTAATTCTTTTTTAAAAATAGATCTTTGAATTGGTTTTTCATTAAGATTCCTCTGTAACTGTTAGTGTGTAAACGCGTCAGAAAAAAAACCTCTAATTATTAAGCTGGGGAAGAGCTTTATATTAATGGCCAGAATCTTCAAAAAAAACATGGCCCTTAGATCCTTGAATAGATGATTTCAACGGAAGCTGAGCTGTCTCCCAAACTACTTCTTCAAGTGTAGGTGACAACAGTGGTATTCAGTGTGCTGATTCATTTAATGTGTGTTTTCTCTAAATCATCACCCATAGGCTTTTTGTGATAAATTCCAGATAAAGATGTGTGTTAGAATTTGACTCAATATTTTCTGTTTATGTCTTACAACACTTAATGCAATTACTAAAACAAAATTCTGCACAAACTGTACAATCCCAGAACTTTTCCAGGATTTCAGTGGAATCAGATAATAACTCTTTTATGTTTGGTCCAAAAAACAGCTAAATTCTGAAATCCCATATTCCAGTCAGTGACTGAAAGGAGGCTACATGCGCAATGAACATTTTGAAAACTAAATCTATCTTTCTCAACAGGCAATTGTAATTTATATAAGGAAAAACTCATAGGAAATTGGTGCTGATGCTGAGTACTCTTATTAAAATAATGTATTTCACATCTTTGAAGAATTGAAAATCACAATTCAAAGCAGCAGCAACAGCCCACAAAGTGGTATAAATTCTGAGTATTACTTAACAGTAGGAAGTAATCCTTTTCTAAAATAAAAGGAAGGGAAGGTTGAAAGAGAAATGAAGATCTCTTTTTTCTATCGTCCCTGTTTTGGGTTTGCTCATAAGATTGCATTATGATGAAGCAATATAGTTGCTTTGATGAAAAAAGGAAGGCAGAACTCTTGAAGCAGAAAGAAAATTTGCCTTCAAAATTTTTATAAGAGTGATCTGTAATATTATGGCATTCTTAGTATTTGTCTGTTTTTAAAATAGTGACCAGGACCAAACAAACAAACAAAAACAGAAACATAAGGGACAAACCTTTTAGAAATTTGAGGAAGCATCTCAACTGCTTGGACTAGGTCCAATAATCTTATATTTATATATCAGATTATGAAACTCAGCTAATCCAGATTGGGGAGTTTGAGAAGAAATGGACTTCAGAAACTAAGGAAAAAGGGATTCAAAGTTTGCTGTAATAAGCTTCAGTTTTAGGATAGCAACATTATTTTGCATCAAAATGTCGATAGCCTGAACAGGAGCTTATTACTACTCATTTTAAAATGCTGTTTTAAAAATGATGCACAAAATTATAAAGTGTACCAATAGAATGAACAAACAGAAATAAATAACTTTTCCTTGCTTTTCATTAATTCTTATCAGCCCTCCCTATTAAAATATATAGTGATTAAAGATTTAAAATAAAATAAGACTTAAGGATAACCCTAAAAGAAAAGACCCAAGAGAGTTTAACCAGAATTAAATGATTCAACCAACATTCAACCAATAATCTGTGGGATGAATTGCTTTTTGAATCAGAAAATTGTCTTTTTTTAAAAAAAAAAAAAGGCTTTAAAGTATTTATCAGAAGATAGAAAAAAATTATTCATTGGCTGGGTAGAGCACAATAATAGCTCCTTTTTCAAGTTTTCTATAGCCTGGTTTTGAAGAGGAAAAATACTACCAAGTCACATGCTGTGTTTCTAAAATCGCCTTTTCACTCTTCTAATTCTGAACAATGTTTGGGGCTAATTTAATTCTCTTCAAAACTGAATGTTGAGTGAAATGGTTATTTCCCCCCCCCCCATCTTTTTAATCCTGCATGCAGCAAGAAAGAAATGAAAGCGGGAAAGTATTCCTTTGATACCCTTAATCTTTTCTCTCCTGTAGCTTGGACCTATTCAGTGCAAGATCACACTTGCTGGTTACGTGGCCTGAGTGCCAGTCCCTGAGATGTTAAAAAAAATATGTGTTTGTTGCAGCTGAGCATAGGTAGGTTTGTGATGGTCCTGTCAATTGTAAAGCTGCCGCAAGGGTTTCCAGGAACCTTATTATAATGGGTCTTGATCAGTTTCATTGCTTCCCCCCCTGCTGTTCTATTCTGCTCTGCTTTGCACCTTTATGATTCTGTTAAAACCTGCTTAAAACTGCATTCTCTTTTTCAAGCAAATCTAATGCATTAGAACTTCCATCACTGGTGGAGCAATATTTGCTGTAGGATGGAAATAAGACCAGCTAGATTGTTTTAAAAAATGTACATGGAATTGTATTCCGATCCCAACCACCTTTTCTTTCAAGGCAAATAGGTTTAAGACATCAATGAGAAATTCCTTCAAGTGGGCTTTCTTAACACACTTGAATGACAATCCAATATTTGAAGTGTTTTCCAAGTCTTGAAAAAATAAAATAATTCAGGAGGAGGAGGTTATTGACAGAAATGAGCATCCAGTTTTTGAGTTGATTAGTTTGATCTTGTTCCACTTTGGCAATTTCTTTCACTGTAGTCTTGCTGATCACAATGAGCTAAGCAGTCATATTACTTGGATCTGAAGTTATCAGATAATTTGAAAAGCAAAATAATAGAAGGCAGTGGCAAATTACTTCTATACTTGAAGGTAACCATGCAATTGCAAAGAGTCAAGGTAAGGGGTATCTTCCCTTTCCCCTCCCTTCCAACCAATGTCTTACTCTTGAGAATATGGGAGGCCAATTTGATTGATATCATGGATGTGTCTTTTTGAAATCTAATACTTTGGGTGTTGGGGGAGGGGGAAATAGTGGATCTTTAAAACGTGCAAATTTAGCATATCATGTACAATCTTTCTCAGTTTCTCAGTGATAGGAAATGGTTTTATGAGTTTAGCTCTGTCATCAAAAGGAATTTAAGTCCCATCAAAACAGAAGTAGATAGACACAAACCGCCA